GATGGACAGGGTAAAATATTTTAAATACACACATTTCCAATGAGAATCTAAAGAAAGAAGTAACATTGATTGGAATGGTCATGCAACCCTGTAAGAATTCAGAAAAAATTAGAGGGTCAAGACAACAGAACAGGTTCACTGACGATATGCCAGAGAGCAGGGCCTAAACCCAAATTCAGTCATCCTTGCTACTGACCAATGGCCCTTGCTGTATTACAAGCATTTCCTTCCCCTATTTTACAAATAATAGACAATACAGAGATTTTTAAAAAGTGATGTAATTTTCGTTTTAAAAAATCAACAACACCTGATTGTTCAAATGTATTACATTTTCTGGAAGATTACAGAAGACATCATATGCTTCCTACAATGAAAATATAAGAATAATTGTGAAATATCAAACCTGACCTTAAACAAAGGAACAAAGAACACATCACAATACCCTACCCAGTTTGCATGAGCCGGCTTTACCTGGACACTTTGCCCTTGGCTTTCCGTGTTTAGAAGCACAGAGTTCAAAGGGCAGGACTGGAGCCCGTGAGATCTGACTGCATGTTGAAGTGTCAGAAAATAATACTGTTTGGTTACATATTCTTTTCAATAATAGTAAATACTACTGCTGCCACCAGAAACAACAAACAATGACTTCTTATTCTTTTTCCTAGCAGGTTTTATCTGGTTTGCACAACACAGCCCAACAACTGTGCAGGGAGGCTCAGCAGCGGCTCCCTAAACCGTCTGTTTTTGCTGCAAAAACAAGGGAGGGGAATGTCAGTCTCCATTTTTTCCCCCGCCATCAAGTCACAACTGACCCAGAGGTCATTTCGGGGGGGATCACGGGGGATCGCAGTTCCCCCGGGTGAGGTACGGGGGGCGGGGCACATGACGAAGCCTCCCCTGCTTCCGGCCGCCCCGCTTCCGGCCCTCATTCAGCCAGGAGGAGGCAGGAGAAGAGGAAGGGTAAGTTGCTTCCTCCCTGCCTCTCCCCACCCCTGCCTGCCTGGGGCCAGGGAGGGCCTTCGTGGGGCTTCCTTGCACTCCCGCCGGCCTTGCAGGTCCACCGCTGGGCCCCTCATGGGGCTCAGCAGTGGAGCTGCAAGGCCAGCGGCGGTGGCCGGGACCGTTGGGGGCGGGGTGTGTGGCCTTATGACACACTTCCAGTGATGTCAGGGGGTGTGGCCTTATGACACACTTCCGGTGATGTCAGGGGGTGTGGCATATGCTAATGAGTTATGCTAATGAGTTCCCCTAGCTCTTTTTCTATGAAATGACCCCTGAACTGACCTATAGCCTTTTGAAGGAAACAGACATTCAGAGGTAGTTTCCCATTGTCTGTGTTGCAACCCTGGACTTCCTTGGTGGTCTCCCATCTAAGTACTAATCCAGGCTGACTCTGCTTAGCTTCCAAGATCAGGGTCTCCTGGGCTGTCCAGGTCAGGACCTACCATATGAGTTCTAGGCTGCATTCAGCATATTTCACATACACTTTCCTTACAGCAGTTGCAACAAATTGTTTTAAAAACCGGCAGCTGACTGGAACAGCTATTTCCTCCTATGCTCCCACCCCCGGGCAGCAATAAAATACAAGGTGTGTTAGCACATTCTAGGTAATTAACAAAGTAAGTGAAATTCAGACAATTAAACCAAAACTGAAGTTTACAACACCAAAAGCAGACGCTGTTTTGCATTTAGAAGGGAAATGAAGGTTAAAGGATGCAGTAAAGCCCCTCTGCCCTTACTATCATCTCTGGCTGTTGCCAGTGCAAATGCCACATCAGCCAGGAATTTGCTGAATTTGATTAAGAGTGATCTCCAGGTCTTTGGTAAGCCACTCTTAGCTTCAGTATCCCTACCTGCAATATTGAGAGGGGAATACTCCTGATCCACTTTACAGAGTTTTTGATAAGGATTACTGTTAATGTACTTGAAGCTTTTTGAACAGTCAATAGCACTATGTAAACTGCTAAGTAGTATGATTGTTAAAATGGCATCCGTAATCTGGAATGCCTTTCCTTACTGTCCTCATTTTTTTTTGCCACCAGCTTGTGTAAACTAATGCACTTACACAAGAAAGCACCCCAAAATTCGGCAAGATGCCAAATCAGTATGGCAAAGGCCATCTCTTTTGCCACTTGGTAATCAATGAACATCCTGTGTGAGCCAGACACCAAATGAAAGACTGAAACAACATGCCACTCCCAAGGGGTTTATGGTCCAAAATGTCTGGACTTTGTAAAGATGTGACAAGGACAGGGGTAGAGAAGAAATAATGGTAGCACAAAATGGGACGCATTCAACAGAACATAGATAGGCAATTTATAAATACCTTGCCTTTTGTTAATAGGCCTCAAACATTTCTCATCCAGGGAGGAAAGCTTCCTGATCTACATTTCCTGAACTCCTGTGGCCTTACTTCGAGATTTTAACCACAAAATGTTTGCTAAATTGGTTTGGCTGACAGAACCTCAGGACCCACAGCCTAGGAGGGCGTCTAGCCAGCAAACGGCTACTGAGGCCAGTGTGGCGAAATCCAACACCAGGGGCCAACAAAACAGTAAATCCTCTAATAGGAACAGGCTAGAGCAGGTAATACCATCCCCATCGGAGTGGTGGGAGAGGCCACCATATATGAATTCCCTTAGCACAGTTCAGAAGCAGGGAAGCGCCGTGACCTGGATAGCCCAGGCAAGCCTGATCCTGTCAGATCTTGGAAGCTAAGCAGGGCTGACCCTGACCCCTAACCTCCAAAGAACACCAGGGTCGGGAGACAGAGATAGGCTATCAAGCCTATCTGAATATCCTCCATAGGAGTCACCAGAGGTCACCATAACTTCCAGGCATGGGCACATGCAGACACAAAATGCAAAAATACAACAAAAAAAGAAGCAGGGAAGCATGGCGTAAGCCAGACAAAAGGTAAGCTCTCCCACTCCCCCAAATCTTAGATTCAAGTCATACTGTTGATCTACATTTCCTGAACTCCTGTGGCCTTACTTCGAGATTTTAACCACAAAATGTTTGCTAAATTGGTTTGGCTGACAGAACCTCAGGACCCACAGCCTAGGAGGGCTTCTAGCCAGCAAACGGCTACTGAGGCCAGTGTGGCGAAATCCAACACCAGGGGCCAACAAAACAGTAAATCCTCTAATAGGAACAGGCTAGAGCAGGTAATACCATCCCCATCGGAGTGGTGGGAGAGGTCACCATATATGAATTCCCTTAGCACAGTTCAGAAGCAGGGAAGTGCCGTGACCTGGATAGCCCAGGCAAGTCCGATCCTGTCAGATCTTGGAAGTTAAGCAGGGCTGACCCTGGCCAGTATTTGGATGGGAGACCTCCAAAGAACACCAGGGTTGGGAGACAGAGATAGGCTATCAAGCCACTACTCTGAATATCCTCCATAGGAGTCACTAGAGGTCACCATAACTTCCAGGCATGGGCACATGCACACACAAAATGCAAAAATACAACAAAAAAAGAAGAAGCAGGGAAGCATGGCATAAGCCAGACAAAAGGTAAGCTCTCCCACTCCCGCAAATCTTAGATTCAAGTCTTACTGTTGCCACTCCTCACTATATTCACATAGAATGTCCCACTCAAAGTCACCAGCAGGAGCATTCATTTGGGCCTTTCTTGGCAGGCACATTTGGAAATCACAGCAAAATTGACTGGAAGTCTCTGTCAAAGAATCCTTTTGTAGGAGCGAGCTCCAGCAAGTGCTCTAAGCACACGGTTGGCAAGGGAAGCAAACCCAGACCGCTTCTGGCCCTCTTTCAGACACTCTGTCCTAGACTGCCTTTCCTCACTGCTCAAGGAAGGAAAACTGGACTTATTGTGAATTTTTGCTCTAGTGATCAAAAAGGCAGTCAGCTCTATCCACTGGTTTGCTATTGGAAGATTCTGGTTCCATTCACATCTGCACAGTTCCTTTGGGCTTTCTTTGGCACATGTAGCCAGTTAATTATTTCAGGGCTATTCTGGGATACCTCTTATTCAACTCTCGTTTTTTCCCTCCCTCTTTCCACTGCTGTCTGATCACGAGATTGCCTTTAGGGGGAAATCAACAATTACACAGGCTCTAAAAAGATGAAACTATGGCTCAGTCTAGAGGTAAGGCCATTCCCGCTAGCAGAATATTTTCACCGTTGCTTTCTAATGCAAAAGCACAGGCACTAACCTACTCCTGACCGCTTTTCCATACGGGACAGAAGGGAAACTATTTTCACCGTTGCTTTCTAATGCAAGAGCACAGGCACTAACCTACTCCTGACTGCTTTTCCATACGGGACAGAAGGGAAACTCATAATATTTTCCTGTTTGGAGCCAACAGATCAAGGAAAAGTATGCAAAATAGACTGAGAAACACCAGCTGTAGTTCACCTCCTCCCAGCCTGTACTTCTCAAAAGACACATATCTCCTTTTCATTAAAGGCTGGCTCAAGATATTTTTGCTGCCCAAACAATCCAGGAGGCATGTCCCAGAATCTATGTTGTCACAGGGGGTTGTGTACAATTCCAAGAAATTTTGTTCTCTCTCTCTCTCTCTCACACACACACACACACAGCTTTAGCAAGGCCACTTCAATAATTGCCATCCCACACATGTGCTTAAATTACTTGTGTGGTCAGATAACCTCTCAAGAGAATTTCATCTAAGCCATCATAGTAGTTACTGGAGGCTAGTTATTATGGGACAGTTTTGGCCAATTAAGCTCCATTATCGCCTAAACAAAACCTGAAAGAACTGCACTGCGGTATATCGGGTAACTTCTCATTTTCCTTTCAAGCTTACAGCCCATGTTGGTATACTGGACATGGACAGTAAAAGGAATGCTTAGAACCCAACAGAGACTGTTAAACACATTACAGTGCTTGGACTTGTTCCGGCCAGAGGCTGCTCTTGCACATTTCAAACAGTACGAAACATTCATCCTTCAAATATTAATCCCACAGACAGCTTGTTGTGGAGCACAAAACAGGAAGAGCAAACACGATTGGTAAAGTCAGGATTTTTTATTAACTTCTGTTATCTGTTCCATGGCAAGGCACTACATGCCTTATCTGCACAAAAATGGCCGCATCTCAACTGTTTCAACGGAAAACATGAAGAGTGGTTCTGCTTCCATATGACAATACCTGGATGAAAGAAGACTGACGTACGGAGGTGGAGGGTGGAGGAGGATAATTTAGAGCTGAGAGAAAACAGTTCTGAATTAAGGCTGTTGCATGTTACAATTCTACTTTATCAAAGTTTGGGTTTATTTTAGGAACAAAGGTTATTCTACTCCAGATGCAATTATGAACTTCAAACTTTGACAGCATATAATTATGCTTATTACGCTAGAAAAATACATATACACAAAACAAACCACATCGACTAGTAGAAGGTGTGCAAAAAAGTTGCAACTGTTCTGATTGGCAGTCACTTCTGGACAGTCCAGAAATCGGCACAAACTTGATTCAAAGGCAGCACATTTTCCTTGAGAATCTCCTCCACAAGCTGCTCACAGCCGGACCTTCTGTATACTGCTAATTTAAGACAATCTACACTGAAGTAAGTGGCTCATACTCAGGTCATTCTTCCATTGATTTTATGTATTTCTCATAGGCATCTTCACTCATTAGTTCATCAAGTTCTGAAGGGTTGTCCACAGTCATCTTGATAAGCCAACCTGCAGGCAAGAGGAAACATTAAGTATTCATATTGCTTGGATTATGACATGAATTCTTAGCTATAACATCTATGATCTCATATTAATTTTGGCAAGCAAAAATCTTCAGTAACGCTGCACCAGCTAAAGAGAAAAAATGGAAACAGTGAGGGGATTCTATAACTAAGGCTAGTGAAGTCATTGCCAAATAGGAAATTCCAGTATGAATATAAACCAACATCACTAGCTACCCACCCCTCTGTCTTTCTTACAGGTAGGTTGTATGACAAAGCTTAAGATCTTCTGGATGAGGACATCTGAAATAGTTCCCTTCCAAACTTCTGCTTCCAGAAAATAAATTGATGCATGCCTTGTCATTTTTAATGCATTTCTTTCAGGCACCTAGCTTATTTACAGATTAAACTTGTATTTGGCACTTAAACATGACTGGATGTAAGGGTATAATGATTGTCACAAGAGACAACCAATCAACACTCTGCACAGCTGACCTGTGCTGCAAACAGAAGAATTAGTTGCTACTGAACTCAATTCAGTTTGGACATTGTCCACAAAGAAGTAAATGCAGATGCACAGCATACTTAATAATCATGACATGTATTTCTGTGCACAGCTTTTGTATCCCTACTTCCAGGACCTTTAACTGTTAAAGGACTAACAATGTGAACAGTTTGAACAGCCTTCAAACATTATCGCAGAACCATGGGGTTAATCCACAAAAACAGTGACACCCATACAACTGATATAACCAGACTGCTCAGCCATTTCCTTGAAAATTCTGATCGACAGTCAAGGTGTGCGTATCTGTACACAGACTTAGCATCCCTACTACTGACACAGCAAACTTCCCAGTTTCCTCAGGCACTGCATATTTCCAGCCACTACACCAGCTCACCCAACCTGTATCAGAAGCTTCACCACCACAAGCACAATGCAATATAGATGACCCTTCCAATATTATCATCAATGCTGTAAATAAAATGAAGCCTCTTACCATCCTGATAACAAGATTTGTTGACAAGTCCTGGATTATCTGCAAGGGCCGTGTTAATTTCTGTTACTTCTCCAGTGAGAGGGGAATAAAGTTCACTAGCAGCCTTCACGCTTTCCAAAGCGCCAAACTCATCTGAAATGCAGAATTGGGGAGAGGAAAACCATTTGATTGAGAATCGTATATGATGGCATTTCAATACGTCTGATACGGAGACCTGAGTGCAATTCTGTTTCCTTTTAAGAGTTCAATTCTAAGTGTTGCTTTTGACCTTTAAAGCCTAAACAAACTTTTCTATTCCCTTAGGCCTTTGGTAGCTCTTGACTTTCCACAGTTTGTGAACTTTTGTTAGCAATATTATGGATTGCTGAGTATGCTATCGTTTTTCTCTTTTTATTGTGCTGCTTTATTCTTCCTATGATCAAGTCATTTAAACATTTAATCGCAAACCGCTTTAGAGGCCCTAAAACGGTACATTAGTGGAGTAATTCTCAACACACATTTTTCTGACTAGAATCTAAAGAAAGGTGCAGTATTAATTGGCCTTCAGAAAGTATCCAGTGTTTAGGGCATCTTGGACTGAGCCATCAGAAAAAATTCTAATTCTGCTTAGTAGAAAAGCTACTTTTCTATCTTTACGCAACAGCTGAAGGCAAATAAAAGCAAAAGGCCTAAATCCTAATAACTGTGTGGTTAGTGCAATATAGCCAATATACCGTATATTTATAACTATTGGTCACTGCAAGCTTAAAGTTTACTTCCTCCTTTTTAAAAATTTGGTATCACTTATTGTTTGCAAAAGAACCAAACCAAAAAATGCTATACAATTTGCAATGTAAATCAAGCTAACAATACAATTAGAAGTCTGCAGGATAGTCCATGTTAATATTATCACATTTTGTGCTAAAAACATCTACTATTCCATATGACCAAAGAAGCTCTGGGCCTCTGTTCCTCAAACAGCCTGTGAAGAAGTACTTTCAAATGCAAAAGTTCTTTCAAAAGCAATATGTGGCATGGCAAGCAAGGGTGTGGCGTGAGTGTGTGTGCACACCTCTGCCATTAAAAGGAAAAAAAAAATAAAACTTCACTGAGCCATGCTCAAGGCCTTTAAAAAGCACCTAATGCAGCTCATAAGAACATAAGAGAAGCCAGTGTTGGATCAGGCCAATGGCCCATCCAGTCCAACACTCTGTGTTACACAGTGGCCAGAATCCAGGTGCCATCAGGAGGTCCACCAGCTCCTGGGGCTTTATCCAGCTAATGTTGGATCTGATGTTCAGGGTTTCCTGGCATTGGTGTTAATCACACACATACACAAAAAGAACCACAAAAACGCTTACCCTGTTTGTTCAACTTGGTTCCAATTTCTGGTAGGCTACAATAGACAACATCTCCTAATGCTTCCTAAAAACAAGAATCACAAGGTTCATTATTAAGGTTTTTTTTTAAGGCAATCAAAGCTGAGCCTGCACCACAGGAGTCTGAACAAGGAGCAAAGAGCACAATGCCTTAGAACTGGCTGACATTATACCCCTTTCAGTTCCCAAGAACTCTCTCAACTAATTAAGAGGTTGAACAATTTATCGTGCTGCATTGCTTCTGACTAATCTTAGACTGTCATGTGGCTGACAAACCAGATTCTTTCCCCCATTTTTAAAAAACGGAAGGGGTGGGGGAAAACCAGGGGATGACAGTTTAACCCTTTTCCTGCCAGCCATTAGTCCACTCAAGACTCCCCCAACTGTTGCTCCTCCCAAAGGGAAAAACAATGGCAGGAATTGCAATCTAGTGCTAACAAATCCACGCAGGTTTTGCCTCAATCCAGAGGCAGAGGTTTAAGCATCAGAAAGATGGCTCTGCTGCCTCCCAGGATGCAATTGCTGATAGCAAGGGAGCGAATTAAAATTATCGCCTGGGAAGTAGGTTTTCTTTTCTCTTCTTCTTTTTTTTGCAGGGAGAAGAGCAGCTGAACCACGTCATGGGCAACAACATCCTCTTCCACACCTGCACAATTTCTGGCCCAATGCTGGGGGGGAAATCTAGTTAAAAAGGACAGAGCGAGGCAGGCAAACAGAACACGTGGCTCACCAAGCCACATATGGCATCTTATCAGGATCTCAATCAAACTCTTTTTTTGTGTGTGCTGAGATTGTGACAGGTCAAACAGGAGGCAAAGCAAGGCTGAGTGGGCTGTGCCCAGCTTGGTGGGCCACAAGAGCTAGTGCTGCACAGCGTTAGAGTGACGGACTTAAATTGGGGAGATCTGGATCCAAATCTTTGCTCAGCCTCAAAGCTCACTGGATGGCTCCGAACCAGTCATTAACTCTTGGCCTAACCAGGAAGGATAAAAAGAGCACTGGAGCAACAAGAGTGCTGCGATAAAAGTGTAAAAGGTAAAGGTAAAGGTTCCCGAAAGCCAGTCGAATCCGACTCTAGGGTTGCGGTGCTCATCTCCGTTTCAAAGCCGAAGAGCCAGCGCTGTCCGAAGACGTTTCCGTGGTCATGTGGCCGGCATGACTAAACACCAAGGCGCACGGAACGCTGTTACCTTCCCACCGAAGTGGTCCCTATTTATCTACTTGCAATTTCTTGCTTTCGAACTGCTAGGTTGGCAGGAGCTGGAACTAGAGACGGGAGCTCATTCCGTCATGCGGCACCCTGGGTCTCGAACTGCTGAACTACTGACCTTCCACAGCCTGCAGTTCAGCATCTTAACCACTTGAGCCACCGCAGCTCCGATAAAAGTGTAACCAGCAAATTAATGTCTTGAATGTCACCAACATGTAGAATTAATCCCCCCTGCAAAGCGCATCCTTGCATTAAATATTTACGTATAGTGGTTTAAGTAGGCATCTAGGATTTTTCTAGCACTGAAAGCATGGAAACATTTGTCTGTATATTAAACAGACCAGAGTAAAGCAAGCTTAAACAGGGCCAAATTTCTCACTGTATCACACTCCCTAGAGGCCAAACTAATGGGAGTAAGGAGAGGGCTTCAGGCACCAGTAAAGTACGTTCCCCTAGACAGGCGCTGAGTTCCAAGTCCACAATCCAACTTTGTACACAGAATAGGCAATTAGGACAATAAAGGGTCTGAAGATCAAGGCCAACGACAGATGACTGATCTACATTTTGCAGAGTAACATAAAGCAAAGGAAAAACAGTACCTGTGCAAAATTGCTGATCCCTACTGTCCCGATACTGTTCTCAACAGCTATCCATTCATGCTTGTCTGTGAATCTACGGGCTAAAACAAAGCAGAAAAGCAAAGATGTTTTCAGTGCCTCCTTAAACATTAATTTTTGCTTCAAGGTTCTGCCTTAAAACCACTGGCATGAACTACTTATAAGAATGCCTCTAAGTTCTGAGTCCTGGGAGGGGGGGGGGAATCTTAGCAGAGCTTAATTCACTTCTAATACACATACCACAGGGCTCACATTCCTAAATCCAAGCAATTTCAACAAACATTCTCCAATCTGGGTCACATAACAGCCTTATCTTTTCCATTTATTTTCAAGACATTTGCTGTCACAGCAGAAATTTTCAATTAAATTGGAGGCGGGGGAATTGGAGAAGAGGAAAGAAGATCTTTCAAGGCCAAGAATCCCTCAGGGTCATTTGTGTACCAGGAAACCACAGTTTGCCATTATGTCTAAACCATGCCGTATAACAGCTATTAAACATGTTAACAAATTCAAGTGAAAATGGTCTTGACTGCGCACCCCTAGAAACAATAACTGCCCAACTAACTTTGAAAAAAAACAGACACTGATGTCCCCCAGAGCAACGTACACAACAATGATCACATGCTATTTTTGTTCGAAGAAACAGCTACTTTAGTCAAGTATTGTCGGATCAGCCTTCGAAACTTGTGTTCAGATTAAACTTTCGCCATGTACTCTGTGGAAGGCCTTGAGCAAATTACTCTCCCTTAATCTCAGATCCTCCACCTGTGTAATGGAGGAACTGCTAGGCTTGTGGGTTCACGTCACCAGGCTTTTGGCTGAGGACAGCGACGGTTCCATCCTGGCTGGCACCAGAGGTCATTTCGCGGGGGATCGCAGTTCCCCCGGGTGAGGTACGGGGGGCGGGGCACATGATGAAGCCCTGCCCCCTGCTTCCGGCTGCCCCGCATCTGGCTCTCATTCAGCCAGGAGTAGGCAGGAGAAGAGGGAGGGTAAGTTGCTTCCTCCCTGCCTCTCCCCACCCCTGCCTGCCTGGGGCCAGGGAGGGCCTTCGCGGGGCTTCCTTGCACTCCCTCCCGGCCTTGCAGGTCCACCGCCGGGCCCCTCATGGGGCTCGGCAGTGGAGCTGCAAGGCCGGCGGCAGCCGGGACCGTTGGGGGTGGGGTGTGTGGCCTTATGACACACTTCCGGCGATGTCAGGGTGTGTGGCATATGCTAATGAGTTATGCTAATGAGTTCCCCTAGCTCTTTTTCTACGAAATGACCCCTGGCTGGCACCCTTCCCCTTCCCTGTTGCTTATATCTATTTTGCCCTCCTCCCCCCTGTACACAAAGTAGCTGGCAGTGGGAGTTGGAATTTGGACTGGTTATTTGCCATCTGATTGCCTTTAATGCTGAACTAATGTCTTTTAATTAATTTTATCTTGTTGTATCCCTGGTTGTACATCGCCCAGAGCCCTGCAGTAGCACGGGTGGGGAGATTTTTCATAAATACAAAAAATAATAATAAAAGACTGATGGTGCACCTTGGTGACGTAAGCAGCTACATGTGCAAAAGAATTGTGACAATGAGGTATTAAGAGTTCCAGGACGGTGGATGAACAGCAACACTCTTGAATGTCCCACTGTATAACAGACTTCCTATAAATCAAAAACTAGCATAATAGGGACTGGATATGGTAGAACACAAGGAGAGGAGATGAACCCCCATCACAAGCACACCACACATTATGTAAAACAAGCGGAGGACCTGCAAGGACCTGCAAGGTACAGCTAATTTCCCCTCCCCCACTATTTCCTCTCCCTTCCCTGAAAGCCCCTATAGCCTCTCCCCTTTTCCTGCTCTCCTTCCTATCCACCAGCCACCCTACCTTTGCCTTCCAGCTCTCCCTCTTTC